CGCCGCGCGGATGGGGCTCTCGCATGGGTCGCCGGGGGGGGATCGACAGTTCGAGCAGGCGAAACTGTGGGACGACGCGCTTCGGCAAAGGCGTTTCGAGCAGCAGGAGGCGATGCGCCGGAGCTGCCCCTTTCGCCCGACGCTTTCGAAAGAAACAGAGCGGATCTCGCGTCGAATTCGCCAGGATTCCGCGCACTCGCGACGGGGCGGGGGGGAAACCCTTTCAGGGAACTTTCCCGAGGCAGCCGAGCGGCTTTACCGCGATGGCGGGGAGCGTCTTCTCAGGCGGCAGTTCACCGTCCACCGCACAAGGTCGGAAAACGCTGCGTTCGTCATTGGCGGGCGACGAAAGCTCTCCCGTCGAGGGGTCTCCCAACTCCTTCACCGTTTAGAAACTTGGCAACTCGAGCGCGAACATCATCTGGCGGTGCGCCGCCGGGAAATTGAAAAAGCTAGAATCCAGTCAGCAGCGGCCATGCGGCATCGAGGCAGATCACCAATCGATTTTGAAGAGATGAATTCGCCGCTTCACGAAGAGGCCCCGCGGGCTTTATCTTTGGAATCGTTGAATCGCCTTCCTTCCGCAGCGCCTCGTCCTCGTCTCCCTCAGGGCAAAACTCCTCAGGCTCTTCCTAGTGTGAAAAGCTCGCTGCCCTACGGGTCCTACGATAGCGATGCGAAGGAAGATGATGGGGAGCGTAGTGCGGATTCCTTGGATCTCACCAACTCGATTACCGTCAGTATGTTGTCGATGTCAACAAACTCCGCCACTGCCGATGATGCGGGAGTTAAAAAAAGGCAGATTTTCTACAATGAAATGCGTCGTATTCGAATAGGAGCTCTTTTTTACAAATACGCCTCCCCGAAGGCGGAGACGGTAAGTATCGCTGACGTGCAGGAAAAGGTGCGGCTTCTTTACCCTGAAGATGTCGGCATCACAGCAGCCCTGCGCACTTTTATCAAGTCGGATAATCTGGCGCTAACCAAACCGCAGTTTATGGGGGCATTGCAACGTTATGAGCAGCATTACGGTCCTCAGGAGTGGGGGCGAACGGAAAAGGATAAAATCCTATTTCCCCATCTTGAATTAGCTTCTACGCGGTCTCTTCCGCCTCCATCCACAAGGGCCTCTCTCTGTAAGGAAATCCCTCATCAAGGAGCTCCTGAGGGTCTTCCTCCGCCGGTCCCGGTAGTACCACGTACATCTGAGAGCGGAAAGCAACCTAGTAAATAGACATCAAACTCGTTAAAAAGAGTTTGCTCCAATACGGAACTTTTTTCAGTATCTTATGGCGTGCAGCGCGAAACACTTTTAGCGGGAACCACACGATTTCTTTCTTTCTGCTCGAGGGCAAATACAGTGGATTTCACATTTTCACCGAAGCTTAGCAATATATCGCTATTGATGTCAACAACGACAGCTCCATGGACGAACGTTGGCGAGAACTTTTACTGTTTTGGATTGTGCAATAAGGTTTGGTAAGCAAATTTATACGTCATCGGTGTGAATTCAGCCCGCTCAGAGGAACATTTCAAGAAGGAATCTAGATTGAGTTTAATCAAATTCATAACGGAATGATCCTCAAAATGAACAATTGGGTATGATAAAGATCAGAAAGCTGTAAATTATCTACGCTGACTTAGTTTCCAAAGGCAGAAATGTAGGAATCGAATCGTATTGATGCACTAGGATCTTCTTGAATGCTTCTGCGCGTAGCAATTTCATATCATATTATTAAGGAGAGTTTAGTAAAAACTTTAATTTACGCAAAACACTTATCAAGGACACTTTTTCATCATCCCAAAAATATTTTATCGCTTAAACACGGTGTTTAACGAAATGCTACATTCTTCTGTTTGTAGTAAGTTCATAATTTACATGAAATTTGATCTATTGGGTCACTCTATATTATACACACAGATACACACACACATTTATATAGTAAAAAAAAATAGACCACTAGATTCTGATAAAATTACAACAGGGAAATAGAGCAAATAATATTTAATTTCACTAATGAATTTTTCATTAAATCTATACCTTTATCATGTTATATTGGTTTAACTTTTTCATCTTTTATCAAAAACTTCATTATTTCACTCCTGCGATATTTTATAGCAGTATAAACACTAAAATCACTAGAGCTAATTGCCGTTTAGGGCTATAAGTAAATTTTTTTTGGCGGGGACCTAAGTTTAGGAAGAACTCGCACATATATTCAGGAGCAAAAATAACGAAGGTAGTTTAAAAGAATTTTGCTATTGCCAGCTTACCCTTTTTCTCGTTGGTAAAAAGGAAGCGTGGGTGAATTTTAATAGGCCTCGATGGGGGATCCTTTTGTTCGTCCTGGCTTGGAATACCAGCCTCACATTGAGCAGGTTCTCCTACGCAATGAAGGGATCCTCACGTTAGAAACCAAAAAAGAAGATTGGCTTCGCTATCAACACCGCGATACCCTCGCCACGATGATCCTGCATCGCGATCAGCTCGCTTATCTTTCCTTAGCCGAAAACGTACCCCCCGCGAAGCTAGAGCGAATTTTTATGGAACGCATAACCGATCCTTTGCATAAAAGGTGAGGGAATTTGGACTAAAATGCAAGCGCTCATAATATCAGGGAAAAAAAATAAGGAATTGGTGGGGGAGAAAAACAATACGTTTCTCTCTCTTTTTCCGTCCACGCATATTCCACTAGTAGTATGCGAACCTCATTTGTTATAACCCATAAAGGAGTTATTTTTTTGTGGTTGTTGTGGCACAAATGTCTCTGGGGTTTACCCTCGGACGACCTCCCTTTCCCCCTTTTTCTCTTTGACCTTTTTTTATTTTTTGTTGGTTTGGAGGCGATCCCGACCTACTTTGAGTTCGTGTAGGAAAACTATCCCCATTCCACCCAGCCTTATCGTTAGTGGACCTGTTAATGGAGGCGATGTGGGGTCGCGCCGGCCACGGGGCCCCCCTTCGCAGGGTACTTTTTCCACCCCTTCCGACGTCTTTTTCTCCCCCGCGGATGGCCTTTTCTCGGCGTTGGGAGGGCCATGTGCCGAATAAGGGCTACCGCGTGCAGCCCCCGATCCCGGATCATCTGAAGGACAGCATCAACCTCTTCGGGAACAGGAACGGGATCGCCGGGGGCGGGGAGGCCCCCCTGCCGGCGGAGGGCACCGGACATTTAGTACAAAAGGTTCTTTCCAGCGGCTCACACATCAAAAACTACAATAAACTTGACCGCCTGCGCATCGCGATGAATCGGGCGCGCGAAGAACTCCCCGAGCATCCCACCTGGCAGGAGGTTTATATGTTTTTTCGCACGACGGAGATGTGCACCGAGGTCCGTGTGGAGGCCGGGGATGTCTTTCCCAAGGGGCAAAAACTCTGGATTGAGCTCGAGGCCTGTGAGGAGAAACGGGTGCCGAATCTCTTGGAAATGCCTAACGGGCTGCTCGTCTTGCCCGTTTTTACCGTAGAGGAAACTATCGATCACTACTTTTCCCGAAACGATATCTTCGAGTCGTGTTGGTTTCCCGTCCCAAGAATGGGAACTCGTTGGGAGCCCTTCTGCGCGCTGCCTTTTCCCGCGTGTGTGATCGGAACGCTCGAGCACTTCTCGACGTTAGCGACCGTGGCCTTACCGCATCAGTTTGCGATTCTAATTAACCCCGGGCAGTATTCGAGCAAATTTATCACATACCCCGAGATGGTTCGGCTTTCGCAAATCAAAAAAACACCCCTGATGAAGCGAGAGCTCACGCTCGTGAAGGAGAAGGATGGAAAGAAGGATCTCATCGTAGATGAGCACCTCATAACGTTATTTGATACGCGAAAGATGACGCTTAAACGGGTAGAACCCCACGAAGTGGAGGAGAAGATGCGTGGCAGGCCGCAGATTCCGCCAATTGCGCAGCTTGAGCTGCATTTATTGCTTTTTAAATACCCCGAAATCGAGAAGGTCTATGTGCGAAAAGTCGAGCGCCCTCGTTGGCGGACAATGATAGGGGTGCCGGAGATTCTCACCGAGATTGATATCATTTCGTCGCCCAAAAATAAACCCCCAGAGAAGTTTCTCCAACACTTAAAGCGATGGAGTTATATGAAGGAATTCCTCATGGATGTGCATATTGAGCTGACTACGGAGATCCCAGAGTCCTCTGGGGATTCAATTCCAATGTGTATCTACACTTCAGAAGATGGCAATTTTCTGAGATCGATGTACACCTACAAAAAGGAACATTTAACGCGGAATATAGGTTACCACGAACCAATCCTTGATGAATTAGGAAGGAAGCCCTACGAGGGTTATAATTACTTCGACATGTGAGTCAACAAAAAAAGAAAAAAGATCCGGTGGATAAAAAGGTGGACGATGGAAAGAAAGATGATAATATATCAATTAAAGGGTTGAAAGAACTAGTCCGAATCTATATACCTTCAAGGAGAGCGTTTTTTTTTAGGTATTCGTGATGTAATTAATCTCTGAAATATTTCTTACACTCGTTTTCTTTATGATGAACCGACGGTTGAAGATGTGATATGTATTTTTATTGGTGGTATTTTTTATACGCCTAGCTGATTTTTTATTCTCACCACTTAGTATATCACGCTTTTCCCATCTGTCTTCTTTGTGGTTGGTGTTTGACCTCGGATGATATGATAGACACTAAGCAGAGGATTACCCATCAGGTTTCATCACCCGACGTCTTCTTTACCCTGGGCTTCGCGGATGTCTGACGCGGCGGAGGAAAAAGGCGCGCAGGAGGCGATTAGCTTCTTGCAGACAATTGGCAGGCTGAAGGACACACCGCGGACGGGATGGGTGGAAAACGGCATTGCAAACGCGGAGTCGGTGGGGGATCATATGTATCGTATGGCGCTGATGTGTATGATGTGCCCAGATCCATCGCTGGATAAGACGCGTATGATTCAAATGGCGCTTTGCCATGACGCGGGGGAGAGCATTATCGGTGATATCACCCCGCGTTCGACCATCACCAAAGAGGAAAAACACGTCATGGAGCTCGAAGCCGTCCACCATCTCAGTGAGTTGGCCTTCTCAGCGGGGTGTGCCCCTTTTAGCAAAGATCTCAGTGAGTTGTTCGAGGAGTACGAGGATCAGAAGACGCCGGAGTCAAATTTTGTGAGGGATATGGATATTCTGGAGATGGTCATCCAAGCGGACTCTTACCAAGCGCTTTACCCGAGTAAAAACCTGAGGACGTTTTTCGAATCTGGTGAAAAGATCCAGCACCCATGGGCCAGAGCCATATTTGAAAAGCTGAAGAAAAATAACCCTTTTTTGAATTTGTAAAAATCATATCACATTTATTAAAGGAAGTAGCTCAACGATTCTATTGATTTAATAGATTAGGTGAATGAAAAAACAACTCCTTTGGATTTTTTTAAAGTTTCTGATGTGATCCTTTTGATAAGATCTAGCACTGTGGTTTAAGAGTCTGATAGTTTATGAAATTTATGGTTATAACAAATGTTAAGCTATAACTGAGCATAGCTTTCGGTACCGTCAAACAACCATAATGCCATCAGAGGTTAAAAAATACAGACGATTTTTTTTTTTGATCAAGCTGGACTACCATTCTTATTATGATTCCTTTAATTTAGTATTCGTATAGCGTTGAACCTCAACCTTGTCAATATTGGCTTTGTCAAATGATTATTTTGTGCATTCCTCCCTTATTTTCTTCTAAAACATACACTTATTTAGCAGCATCATTTTTTTTGTTTTGCATGCACCGTATATGACCCATTTTGGCGATGCGGAAGCTCATCAGAAGGTTCTGAGTGAAATCCTATCCTCCGCGGAGGGGGTGAAGTTGATGCCGTACCTGCGTGATGCCGTGAGCGGTGCCTTTGGGTTACCCTTCTTCCCTTCTACGGCGGCCTCGACGTTGAACTCACGATTCCTTCCTCTTCCTCTTCTTCAGGCCGCCATGCCCATTCTCTCCCTGACGGTGGCTGTCTCGAGTGGTGGTGAAAACTTCATCCAGGAGCAGAAATCCGCCTGGGATACCCTGCAGTACCTTCGCCAAAGGGCCTTTGGCATTCAATCCCCACGAAGCGAGTCCGTGGAATCTCGCTCAGGCTTCCCCCCGGTCCTCTCCCCCAACGCGAAGGACTCCGCGAGTGTGCTTGACATGTACCGCTACCTATCCGCCTACTGGAACTACCTCATGGGCTTTCTTGAGCTCTGGAAGGAGTTGTTTGGGCGGCATTACCAGCTGCACGCGGACGGCGTCCGCCGCGCCCCCCCCGGGGGCCCCGCGCGCCCGCAGCCCCCCCCGCACCTCTACGTCGTCTCCTGGGAGCTCCTGCAGTCGCCGGAGCGGCGGGCGTGGTGCCGCGGCCTCTACGAAGTCGCGCGGGAGATTTTCTTCAACATCGTCGTCGGCGCCCTCCCCGTGGAGTTCTACGTCGTTTTCGTTCTCTACGCCG